AGCACCCCCTTCAGGACACAGCTGAGATGTGCACCGGTGTGTTCCTCTTATTCTTGATTTATCCAAATTCAGTGGCACCTCTGGGTCCCTGTAAGGATCATTTCCTATACGGTGCTGGGTAATCTCAGGAGGCAGAACAGAGAAAGGTCTTTGCCACCTTAGAAAGCTTTGGAGTCTACTAGAAAATTTATATATTCTGTACCAGCAGTGTTGGAGGAACAGAAGCTGGGTGAAATGCTTGAGGGTTCTTCAATTTGCCCTGGGGCTTATGACAGGCAGTCACTGTTGATGTGGGCCTTGAAAACTGAATGGATGAAGGGAAAAATGTCCTGGGTAGGACAGGAGCTGGGGCCATTCTGTGGTGAGTATCTTGGTGGTCACTGTGTTTGGGGACATAGATGATTCAGCAGGGAGCCTGCCTGCCTGTGTCCCTTGGTTGGTTGTGGTTGGGATTGTAGCCTAATAGGGATGCTGTGTCCAACTCCACATCCAGCCTACTTCACTCCATTGGCATGTTGAGCTGAATTTCTTTTTATTGCTCAGGTACAGCCTTGCTACCTCTTAATACACTGCTGATCTTGGTGCCCTGGCTTAGTGATTCAATTCCCCTGTCCCAAGAGCGAAGTTTCTAGATGAAGATTAGGACCCTGACCAGCTTGCAGGAGCCAATTCCTCTTCACCCTCTTGCATCTTGCGTTTTGGAGCCTCATGATTGGTGCTGATACATTTGGGAGGAGGGCATCCCTGTTCCCCATCCCAAAAGGATGTGGATGTGTTCATCTCTCTGCTTTGAAAGAGAGAAGAATTGAAGTTCTCCTAATTTTTTCTCCCCTGTTGTTTCCAGTTAGTCCTCTTTCTCAGCAGAGAGTACTCGATGGTTATCAGATGGTTATCCTTTCTCAGGGCAGGTAGGACAAGGAAGCATTCTTCCAGATTAGTGGATGGATAAAAGAAGCCTTTGGGTTGAGGGATCACGAGTGGGTGGGGGGAGGGGGGGGAGTACCTTATAGGGATAAGGTACCAGGGCCAGGGTCTGTGGCCTTGATGGCCTGGTCCCCCTGCAGGGACTACAGATGGATGACAAAATTAGTTTTCCTGCTCTGTCTGGCACCTGCACCTGGTTGATGGTACTGCCCAGGCCAGCGAGGACTCTGTCCTCACTTTGATTCTCCAGGCATTCACAGCCTGCCCCCTAATCAGCACCTAGAAAGTTGTCAAAGCATCAGAGAAGAGTCCCCAGGATTCGAGTGTTACCAGGCAAGCAATCACAAGGTATCTTTTTGTCTCCTGGCCACAAGAGGGTCGGGGAGGCTAAGAATGCCAGGCAGGGCTGCATGGCAGAGTGTGGCAGGCACAGGGATAGGCAGAAGTATATCTGGTGCTAGGTGTGCAGCGGCCTCCCCAGATCTCCAGGGAAACAGTGTGTGGACTCGGGAGGGGAGCACCACGTCTGGACCTTCATATTTCAGATCTGCCCTGATGTTGGGTTGCCAGGGTCTGGGTGTCCACTGCAGAGGGGTGGAAATGCACTTTCAGAATGGGCAGGGCTGTGGATTGTCTCAGCCATGGAGAAAGGTTGGCTGAAGAGAAAGGAAGCAAATTACCGTTCGTGTCAGGTCAGGGAAAGGGCTCCTTATCAGCCATTTTCCTGAATTCTCTTTTTTGAGAAAGCAAGACATGGATGCATAGTGGATGAGGTTTAAAGACTTCTTTAACGTTAAAAAAAAAGAGAAGAAAGTTCTTCTGAGTGAAAGTCAGTCAAACCATGGGGATACTGTAAGTGCTCCCTACCTTTTTCCAGTGACTGTCACACAAGCCCAGACGCCTCCTCACCCCTCGGCCATGGAGAGCAGAAGGCAGCATTTACTTAGCAGCGGCTCAACCAGCGTTGGGGAATTCTCATGCAGGACCAGGAAGATTCATTTGTGTGCTGGGTTGGCGCATGCACGGGAGCACCGCCTCTCCTCTAGCTCAGAGGCATCAGAGAGCCTGTCATCTCCAATTCATCTCCTGCAGCCTGGTGATGTGTTTAACTCTCTTAGCTCAGTTTCTTGTGCTCTTCTTGTGCTGCTTTAGCATGTGTGACTATTCCACACAATTTAACTTCTGCAAATATTCAAAATAGCTACACCAATGGGCTGTAGGCTATTTCAAGGAGACAATCCAAGAGCCACTGTTCCTTTAAGGTAGCAAGCACGTTAAGGTACTATTTGCCTCCTGGCCTACCTATTGCTCAAAAAAAGCAATTTTAAACCAGGTGTGGTAGACATGCCTTTAATCCCAGCACTTGGGAGACTGAACAGGAGGCATGAGTTTGAGGCCAGCCTTGGGTAGATTCTGAGACCCTATTAAAACAAACAACACACACACACACACACACACACACACACACACACACACACACACACACACACACACACACACACACACACACACACACTTCCCAACAGTGCTGGGGATTGAACTCTGAACCTTTACAGATAACATAAGCACTCTTATCACTAAGCCACACCCCCCAGTCCAAAAATGTGCTTTGATATTTGGAAGGTCTTGTGAGAGATTTCTGGAAACCCTCAAGGGAAGGTACTTGAAGGGTGAGATACGAGCTGGGTTGTATCTGAATGACTCATTATGTTTGAGAATGGCAGTCTTCCTCAGTCTGTGCTTAGCTGAGAGACCTGCAGTGTGGGGGATCCCAAAGAGTATGAACTTGAAATGTGAGAGGGAGAGAGCCCTGCTGCTGTCAATTGAAGCAAGATGGGCCTCTGATGGTGAACCAGCACCTATACCACGCCTGGCGGGAGACGCATAGGTGAACAGGTGAAATCCGGGGTCTCTCAATACAGTTTCCCTGGTGGCTGGCCTACATGGGTGAGAGAAATGGCTTGCACTGATTCGCAACAGCTGGGACTGCAGAAACCAGTAAGAACAGGATGGTGACTGCAGCACGTCCCACCAGCTACGTGTCTTTGAGGACAACAAGGTAGCCCTGTCCTTCCGTACTGCCACACACGATACTCAAGAAGCGGTGGAGCGCAACTTCAGCTGTACTCAAAGAGAAATGTAGAGTGGGCCACCTGCCCAGGGACAAGGCTCCAAGAGGAAGTTCCAAAAGGATCAAACACAGTTGGGGAAAATATAAAACCATAAACAATTAGAATGCTACAGCATAAAGGGACTTTGGATCTCTGGAATAAGGAAATGGAGGGTGAGCTGTTAATGATGTACCTCCAAATAAACTAGAGGCAGGAGCTGGGAAGGTGGCTCAGTGGTAGAGCGCTTGTCTTGCATGCATGAGGCCCTGCGTTCAATTCCTCAGCACCACCTAAATAGAAAAAGCTGGAAGTAGCACTGTGGCTCAAGCGGTAGAGCACTAGCCTTGAGCTGAAGAGCTGAGGGACAGCGCCCAGGCCCAGAGTTCAAGCCTCACGTCTGACATAAACCCAAGGCAGAATGAGGGTTGGAATTGTTCGTTTATCTACACGTGTATTCATAACATTTATTAAGCCCCGGGTCCAGGCCCTGGTTCAGGATTTGCTGGCTTTTAGGCCTATACAAGTCCTGAGGCCTCCAACCTTGATCTCAATCTGAAAAGCTGGTCTCACATCAGACTCAGACAAGGTGGGGCCCACAGATTGTCAAGATAACAAACCCAGCTCCCTCTCAGATCTGAAAGAAGACATTAAGTCAAAAAGTGGGCGGGGGTTGGAGAACAGGTTTAACTGATTGAATATAAGATACAAACACAGCTCAGAATCTTCAAAGCTTATGGCTCTGTATCCATGTTGACCTTTCACAAAGCTAGCTACCTAGAATCCAAACTCGTAAAGGTGGAAATAAACTACCCTACCTTTTACATTTATCAAGTGTAGAGAAAAGTCTGGGAGCAGTAGGGTGGGCCAGGAAGGGCGGGAAATGAGGGAGAGAAGGACATTAGGGAAGAAAGATGATGTTGATAAGAAGAGAAGACTTGGTACAGGCAGGAACCGAAGGAGTTCATACAGGACTAAACTTGGGTCTGTACTTCTGTGGAAAGCTGTTCATGTCCATTGGCATGGAATCAGTTTTGTTTTACTGAAACTGTGCCCCCTTCCAGAAAGTTCCCCGCTGCTATAGGAGAACACAAACTTTAGAAACCTCTTGTTTTCACTGTCCCACTTGCACTAGCAATGGTGCAAGCCTGTCCTCTAGCTACCATTTAGCTAACCACTCAGTGAGATGGTTAGGGAGAAGGGCATCGTAGCTCCCATCCTTCAGATGAGATACCTGAGGCGTCCCAGGAGGTTAATGAGCGGGACTAACCAGGTCTGAAGCCATTCTAGCCTAAAAGCTCTAGCTCAACCACTTTCCCTACCATGCTGGGCCATTCTTCCTGAGGGAAGAAATGCTCGTTCAGTTGGAGTGGGGACAGAGCCCCATCCATAACAGCTTGTCTGCCTTCTGGATTTGAATTCACCGGGATTGGGAAGACACCAAGGTGGCCCATTGGAAGATGACTGAATTTCCTCAGCTCAGTGAATTGTTTTTGGGTGGTGGTTCAAAAAGCATGGAGATTTCCTGAGTGGGGTTCCTGGGTTTGGCTCCATCACGAAGAAGAGTCATTAGTGATGGCAGTAGAGTTTTCAATGTGGGAGGATTATCACAGAAACAAGAAATCATTTAGAATCTTGCTTAAGACTGGGCATGGTGGTAGACCCTTGCATTCTCATCACTGGGAGTCAAGCTGAGGATGCAGGATTGTGATTCTGAGGCCAGTCTGGGTTATGTAGTCTCAAAACAAAATTTAAAAAAATTTAAGTTTGCTAGATGGTCTAGGTCCATTTTACCCTAATGGTGTCTATTGAGTCCAAGCCCTACTCTTTCTATTTGGGTGGTGTCAGAAGCCTAGAGGTTACAGAAGAAACCCAGCAATGGATGGACACACTGCTTATGTACATTTTTCAGGTAGCGTGCACCTGTGTACATGCATGGTTCTACCTGACCTTCCTCTTCTCTCCTAGAGCCGCCAACTTCCGGAACTTCACCTTCATCCAGCTCAATGGGGAATTCTCCCGGGGAAAGGGCCTGGATGTTGGCGCCCGCTTCTGGAAGGGGAGCAACGTCCTTCTGTTTTTCTGTGACGTGGACATCTACTTCACCTCTGAGTTCCTCAACACGTGTAGGCTGAACACACAGCCAGGTGCGGGGCTCTCCTTCCTCAACCCGCAGGGTGGCCTGGGTGCCCTGGTGTTCACATGTGCCTGGGATGTCCAGGGGTCCTGTTTGGTAATCAGCCCACCTTGACCCCAGTGGGAAAGGTGCTCTACCCCTGGAGCCACAGCTCCTCTTCTGGCTTCTTGGTGATTCCTTGGAGATACGAGGCTCACAGAAATTTCTGCCCAGGCTGGCTTGGAATGGTAGTTTTCCTGAGTAGCTAGGATCACAGGTGTGAGCCACTGGCACCACTTCAGGACATTTGTTTCGCTCCTGCTGCCATTCGCCCATGCCCAATCATATTCTTCCTCTGCTGGGAGGACAGAAAGATTTTAGAATCCCACTGCCTGGTGCAGCCAGGGCCGTGCTCCTAAGATCTGTTCTACAGAGGAATGAAGGAAACAGAAAAGTGCATAGAGGCCTCTGGGATGTCACAGAGGCCAGATGGAGATGAGCCGGCCCACTCAGTGAATGCCTCTCGGGCTTTCAGTGAAGGTTTGCCTTGCTTTTTTTCCTCTTTGGTTCGCAGGGAAGAAGGTGTTTTATCCAGTGCTTTTCAGTCAGTACAATCCTGGCATCATCTACGGCCATCACGACGCAGTGCCGCCCCTGGAACAGCAGCTGGTGAGTGGTCAGGGCGCAGGTGCTTCTGGGAGCTCTGTTTCAGGGCCCCTATTACCAGGTGCATCTATCTGCCCCTGAGGAAAGCTGGGTGGGAATCTATGGGTTGACTCTCAGCAGTAGCTTTTAAGTTCTGGCCTTTGCTCCCAGTACCTTCCTTGCTGAAGAAAACACAGGACCTGCGCCTTACCAGGATGGTGGTAATTTCATACATTCATGGATTTTGGAAACTTGTTTTCTTGCCTGATGGCTGCAGCGCATTTTTCTCTCTATTATTACAAGGTGAGGAGGGTGAGGCGTACATTCCCATCTGTCAGGTGGTAAACACAGATGTTAAGAGAGGTGTGCTCACCCTGTGCAGCTGATGAGTCTGTGGGGCACTGGGGGAGGTGTACAAGGGTCCCATCCACTTCTCGAGCCCTGAGTTCTGCCCATCACATCATCATTCCCACACGTCACTATCCGAGGTGACTGCTGGTATCAGATGAATCGCTGGCATTGTGATTCATAGGAAGTATAGAGGGATTTCTCTGCTAGAACCCTGGCTGCAGAGGTGATGGTTAGTAGAATGCCATCAGGGAACCATCCAGAATTTTCTTTTTAAAAAAAAAAATAAGTTTTTTGTATTGTGAAAATACCGTACAGAGGGGTTACAATCACATGGGCAAGGTAATGAGTACATTTCTTATCAAGCATTGTTGCCTCCTCCTTTGTTTTTCCCCTACCATCCCTTCCCTCCCATCTCCACAACTACATCCCCCCCACCCCGCCTCAACTGTAAAGTGGTTTCCTTTATTTGCAATAACTAGACTATATCTGAGACAAGCAGAAAAGGTCAGATAAGATGATGTTAAGTGAAATGAACCCCAAGATAAGGCCACAAGTGGTTTTTTCTTTCTTGCTGTTGTTTCTAACGTATTTATAAGGAACTATGTGTTTGTTGTTGTTGTTGCGTTGTATGTCCCTCCCCCACAGTATAACCCCTGTTTTCACTGTATTTGATGTTGGTATAATTGGGGAGCGGAAGGGAAAAAACAAATTGTTTAAATAGGGATACAGGTGGACCCATTGCAACAATGAGATGTACAAGATGCTATGTCAAAATTTTCATACCGCCAATACAGTGCATTTGTTAATGCATTATAACAGCATCTGTGCGTGATACTTTTTTTTAATACCCAATTAGTGTTCATCTACCTTTGAGCATTATGTTCTCCCAGGGAAAAAGAGACTCCTGTTTGCTTTCCAGAGTCTTAAGCTCCTCCGGGTTTTAAGGGATGATAGGATTCGGCCTTTATTTTTCTTGCAGCCAATCAGGGTCCAAGTTCCTTTGGTTTTAAAATAAAGTACTGCTTCACATTTGATATCGGATACAGTGAAGGTGTATGGTTCCAACTCATGGAGACCTTCTTTGCTTTCAAGGACCTCTTTTCACAATGTAAAGGTATGGTGCTCATATGATCTGCCTATGGACAGTCAGGTAACAGGGAGTTTAGAGAGGCCGGGAGGGTACATAGTCACCCCGGTCTTCAGAACTGGAAGTCCAGGCCACCATTAGAGCGCCCTTGGGTGTGCAAAGAATTGGCTTCCAAATGTACCTTTGATCTCTCCTAAGCACATGCATTTGCTAGTTCAGAGTTTAGAGCTTATAATGATTAAATTTCATCAAATACAGTAATTCAAGGGTTCACCATCTCTGAAAGAAAAGTATGATCATTTCATGATCAGACAGATCATTTTTGTTTGTTGGGGGGGGGTTCTTGTTTGTTTTGTCTTTTGTTTGGATTTGTTTTGCTTTTTGGGTCATGGAGATGGAACTAGGGGTTTGAACTCAGAGCCTTGCATCTGCTAGGCAAACCCTCTCCCTACCTCTTGAGCCATGTCCCAGCCCTGTTGACTTTTGTTATTTTTCATTCTCACCTGGGTTGCAATTTTCTGCCTCCTAGAAGGCTGGGATGAAGCTTGTGAATCTCTGTGCCTGACTGATTAAGATGAGGGTCTCAATAGCATGTTGTGCCAGCTGGCCTTGAACTTCAGTCCTTCTGATGTCTGCTTCTAAGTAACTAGGTTTACGACCATGAGCCATTGGGCCTATCTGGATAGGCACTGTCTTCCTCCCCCCTCCCTCCTTTCTTTTCTTTTCTTTCTTTCTTTTTACCTTCCTTTCTTTTCTTTTCTTTTTTGTGATAGTCCTAGGGTTTGAACTCAGAGCCTTGTGCTGGCTGGAAAGAACCCCGCCTTCAGCCCTTTTTTGTGCTGTTTTGAGCTAGCATCTCTCTTCCTGCGCAGGCACACACCTGCACTTTGAAGCTCCTATTTGACATTTTTCACTGTAGCTGGAATGATAAATATACTCCACTCCACCCAGTTCCTCAATTGAGATGGAGTCTCACACATTTTTCTGCATAAGCTCTCCTGGAACCTAAATACCTCTGCCTCCCACGTAGCTAGGATGACAGGCACAGGACAATTCACACTGGTGATTGAGAAGAAGTCTGGTGAACTATTCTGCTTGGGCTGGCCTTGAACTGTGATCCTTCAGATTTCAGCCTCTCATTAACGAGGTAGGATTACAGGCATGATGCCCAGCTTGGACAGGCCATTTCTTCATCACTTGCTGCCAGGTAGGAGCTGGTGCAGGTGGAGGAGTTAGAAGTTCTGAAACCATTTCTGTTCATTGACTTGTTTTTATAGAAGTGAAATGACTGACCCAAGATTATCCACCCTGTAGGCACCATAGCCCAAACCTAAACCATGGTGCCCTTCCTCTAGGGCACTGAGAAAATACTTGCTGAGGCTCTAGAGATGAGAGTTGACAGGTAAAGAAAGTGGCCTGGAACATTCCCAAGGCAGACAATAGACAGAAATAAATACAACGGAGACCAAGGATGTAGGTGGTGGAATGGTGTCATATAAAAAGTAATCACTGCGGGGTGGGGGGTGGAGGGATGGAGAAATTAGGAGAGACTTCTTCCCAGGGGTGTATTTTTGGCTTGCGCACATATTCACAAAGCCTTGATGGCTTTCCCTGAGATACGTATGTCATTGTCACCGCTGGCAGGGCCACGCACCCAGACTGCGGCTGGAATAACAGCTACTTACTTATGCATACAAGAAACAACCTTTCCAGGCAGCCTTGCAAACACAACCTGCTCTGTCAATGTGCCAGTTATCATTTTGCTGTGGCAATTGCCACTGTCATTTTCTATATAACCTGCAGATAAAAGGAAGGGACCGGATTTATAACTGTGCACTCAGACTTCTCATTTCTTAGCCTTTCCATAGATATAGACCAATTCATGCTGACTGAAATCAGGGGATTTTTTTCTATTAATACTTCACTTTTTGAGTTTCCAACCATAAGATGAAACTTACCCGTGCTCTCGCGTATATAGCGATGGGGCTGCTGAGGAAGGAATGGCTGTGACTTCAATAAATGTTCGCTTATAGACATTCCACTTTGCCGGCCCGGGCTTTGTCAGTTCTTGTTCAGGTTTCCAGCGGAATCTCCTACCTCCTCTGTCTTTAGATTCTCAGCCTCGTCTACATTCCAGTCTTTCCTTCACCTTCTGCCAGAAATGTATTTCCAAAACACAGATTCATTCCATTTTTCAAACCTCTTTTAGAGCATAAAGCCTGTGCTGGTCAATGTTTGGCAACCTGTTGTCTTAAAAGGGGTGGAGGAAGCCCTGATGGGTGGGATCTGCCCATTTCCATGGTGTCAATATCCTGGCCTTGGCTCTTCCAGGCTACCCATGTGACCTCACTGAGCCTCAGCTTGTATGCTGGGGCTAGCCTGTTCCATTACAGCACTGCAGGGCCTGGTTCCTTTTGGGGGGAAGGGGTTCATCATCCTCCACAGATCCTACCACCTGGCCCAAGATGCCAGCCCTGTAGACACCCAAGCCAGCCCTGCTGCTCTGCCACACACCTGTGCACAGTCTTCTTGGCTATTTTATGCCTCAAGGGCCACCTCAGTCTCTGATGCAGGCATCTCTGTCTGCTGTATATGTTGCGCTGCTGTTGTTTGTGCCTGATGCTCTTGTGCTGTGCGGTTCATGGGGTGGAGTGAGCTGACCCCCATCCTCAGCCTTTGTCTGATTCCACCTCTCTACCCTCACCTGCGCTTCAGGTTGGTGACCTTACTTCCTGCACACAGTACCTCCAGCGCATGCCGCTGTCTATTTACTTATTCAGGAAGTGTACACCCATCAAATCACAAAAGTAATGTCCTCATGAGTGGTTTCATATGCCTGCGCCGGGCTGCCTTCTTTCCCATCGCTGTGAATAGATGACAGTGCTTCCTTACTCTCAGTCACAGACAGGGATCTGTGGCTCAAAGGCCGTCAGTCACTTCCTCAGACTCCCAGAGCTACTGGATGACAGACGCCCAAACTCAATTGCCACAAAGTGAGGGATGTAATCCTTTGGCTTTTGACATCACAAAAGACAGAAGAGTTGACATCTGGGAAACAAGAGAATGTATATGGGACCCTTGCAGACACCCTTGTAAAGGGGTGTCATCATCAATGAAGATGATTTGTTGAATGGTAATTCCTTTGTACAACTACTTAAAGATAATAAAAATCTAATGATAAGAAGAAAACTCCATCATTTTAATTCAAAAAGACTTGTGGGTAAATGTGACTTAGTATGATCGGAGAGAAGAGGGCATTTGAGTTCATTCTTAAATGAATGATGGGAAGGCTGTAACTCCAAAATATCTTGTCAAGAAATACAGCTAAGATTGTCCCCATGAACCTGGGTATGCTCTGGGCGTGGTACTAATGGGCTGGGTGGAACTCCATCCAAACAAGAGAACGTCACCACTTCTGTATCCTATGCAGTGTGATTGATGAGCCTTTGGTACTCAAATAATAAAGAATAAAAAATGAAGGGTCAGGGGGCACCTAATGCACACCCAGAGTTCCTTGCAGCTCAGGATATCTGGTGCTCTTAGAACAGGATCTGCTACCTGAGTAGAACATTCGAAAGCACAACGAAAAAGGCAAGCCCTTGTCCCAGAAATTACTAAGCATTTTAAGACCATGCCAGGAAGCATGGGGCCTTGTAAGTGGGGGTCCTGTGTGAGTATACCCCCACCCCAGCTCACCGGCGCTCCTGGTGAGAAGAACATGAGACCCAGCCTCGGTTCTTGGGAGACTGTTGATTTAGAGGAGACACTCTGCCTGAGTATTTGTTATTTATTTTATTGCAAGGTCCAGATTGCTTCACGGGCAGCTCTCCAAGTCAGCACCATTAAAACAGAGCCGACAGGCTCTGCCGGCCTCCCCAGTGCCCGCACAGCTGCAGTGCAGCCGCCTGCCTATAGCTCTGGGGGAAGAGATGCTGATTTATGCTCCGTGTGTTAGTCCTCATCGAACATAATCACTCCTGTCACGTGAATTGCCCACAGAGCTGTGGCTCTGGAAACTTCCTGTAGGAGAGCTAGCCTGATAACTGTCCTTTTGTGGTGTACTGGCTCCTCGGTGAGCTCCCCCGTGGGCCAGGCAAGGTCAGGCTGGCAGCAAAAGAAATTACAATAATAATGAGTAGTTATAGTAATTGTGGTAGCAGCAGTAGTAGTAGTAGTGTTAGTACAGGGTCTTGGACTCAGGACCTGGGTGCTATCCCTTAGCTTTTTCACTCAGCCACTTGAGACACAGCTCCATTTCCAGTATTTGGTGGTAAATTGGAGATAAGAGTCCTTATGGACTTTCTTGCCTGGGCTGGCTTTGAGCCATTATCCTAAGATCTTAGCTTCCTGAGTAGCTAGGATGACAGGTGTGAGCCATCAGTGTCCAGCTAAAAGACATTTTTAAAAAATGAGGATATTGTGCTTGAAGTCAGATCGGTGAAATTTTGGGCAAGGGGACAAGATATGTCTCTTTTCATGTTCCACCTTTATCTTGGTGATGTAGAAGACACCCTTAGCGTGTGTGTTTAATACCTGGTCAGAGCAGCGGAACTCCACATGCACAAGGCAGTGTGTCCAGGAAGTCAGGCCCCAGCTTGAGGCCTCAGGAAGGGGAAGACATGCTTGTCCGTTGGTCTAGAGCCATGCAGTTTTGAGAGTGGTCACCTCTGGACCTCCTACTGATGCCTTTGCCGAGCTACTTGTGGACAAGTGGCTCCCACTTGAAGGATGTCTGTGTCCACCGACTGGGCACCATCTACAAACATGAATGGGAGCGGGGCCCTGAGCTGGTGTTCACCGGGACTGGAGGGAAAAGAGAGAGAGCAAACAGAGAAACACTTGCACCTGCAGGAGTGTTTCTCAGTGCTGCGAGTGTCACGGAGAAGATAAGCCAGGGTGACCGTGTGCAGAGGGACAGGGAGGGCGGCAGGAATGCTCACACTGGCCAGGGGGTCGGGCTGGCCGCTCTGAGCAGAACCCAGCGGTCAGCAGAAGAAGGGGGCGAGGGGAGGCCAGGCAGGAATTACAGGGTCCTCCCTTGGATGCTTAAGAGTCTGGAGAATTTGGGGGATTAGAAAGTAGGGCTGCGTAGTAGGGAGAATGAAAGGCGAGGAGGAAGGTGAGGTAGACAAGGCTGGATCTTGGAAGGATTCGAGGGCCATCCTTATCTTCCCCTCCCCTTGTGACTCAATGGGAACACTCCTGGAGGAGAGTTGGGGAGCTCTAGCTCCTAGCCAGGCTGTTCACCAAGGGCCATGTGGCCCAATGTGCTTCAAGTTGACCTCCACAAAAGGTTACCACTGAATGAGCTCCTCCCAGCGTGGCTTTCTGTGGCTTGCCGACTTTTGACATCCACTGAACCGTCTCTATTGCTCCGCCCCTAGGTCGCAAATCAGTGTTTGTTGCCCTGTCCTCATTCAACCACATCCACCACTCCATCAACTCAGACTGGAGTCTTGGATGACCACCGCCTGGAAGCCATCTCATGTTTCTTTCCAAGCTCTGTTCAGTTGTTCTTCCTGTTGAGAGATTTCTCTTTAAATTCCATGGATAGTGTAGCCAAATATTTGATGTTTAGATACCAGCCCTTCTTCCCTTTGACTTGGTCTCTCTCCAGACACCTAGAGGCCTGTGTGCATCGTAGCCAGCAAGAGGGACATGAAACCATTGATTGCCACATCATCCTGACTCCTGGGATAACAGAGACCACACAACCCTTGTTTAAAAAGAAAAAGTGTTTTCCCAGGCTTTTCTGCCTTACACCACCTTTCCAGTTGATACTCATAAAACTGCCTTCTTGTCTGGAAAGTGTTTGGGGGCCGCCCTGAGTCCTGGAGTGGTATCGGAGAACACTTATTTGCAGTTTTTTTCCCACTGACTCTCTCAGGTTCCTGATTTCCCTCCGGCCACCCTAAGATGTGGTAACAGTGGCGTAGTTGACATTTGTAGTGGTAGGTTGCAGCGAAAATAAGATAGTGACATGAGTTCCAGAGTAAAAGAACCTGCAAGATTCATCAACCCTCCTGCCAGCCATTGTATCCATTGTAATTTAGGTCTGTAGGAAGCTTCCAGAAGGTGGAGTAACCGTGATAGGATAGCTGCTTGGCTGTCACAGAGGGAAGAATCTTCAGGGGCCAGTTTAGCTCAGTGTTCTCATCTTCTAGGAAAGAAAGGAGAAGGTAGAAGGAATGAAAAGCTCTTCCTGAGGGCTGAAGCCAGACAGGGGTCAAGTTGGGACAGACAAGACTCTTCCCCTTTGTAGACTGTCTCAGATAAACAGGCAACAGGGCCAAATGTCCCCCAAATGAGGGACCTACTGCCACCTCCCTTCCCCTATCCCAGGAGAGGGGACCTCCTTTCTTCCCAGCACCTGTATGAACTACAAGAATGAATCATTAAAAAAAATTAACTATTAAGATCTCAAACCCAGGGGCTGGGAAGGTGGCTCAGTGGTAGAGCGCTTGCCTTGCATGCATGAGGCCCTGGGTTCGATTCCTCAGCACCACATAAGCAAAAAGAAAAAAGCTGGAAGTGGTGCTGTGGCTCAAGTGGTAGAGCGCTAGCCTTGAGCTGAAGAGCTGAGGGACAGTGCCCAGGCCCAGAGTTCAGGATCCACAAACGGACCCCCCCCCAAAAAAAAAAGATCTCAAACCCATTTGCAGCATGACCTCTGCCAATATGTGTGTGTATGTGTGTGTTTTCACAAACTTTTGCTGCCTCAGCAAATATGTTAAAGATGTACTTGCAAAAGAAGAGAGTGCAGAGGCAGATCGCATTGTTTTATGAGCCTGCACAGCTTGGATGGCCTCTCGGCTGCGCGCAGGGGGCTAGCACCTCTGTGTGTGCTTTCTGGAACTGAACAGTTGGAAAATAGTACCAAGAGGAAAAGGCAGGCTTTCTTCAGATCCTGGCCTCTGGGCGCCCTTTCCCCTAGCGAGTGCTGGATAGCAGAGCCCCAGAGCTGGGAACCACTGAGGTCTCTAAGTCTTTCTTTTTATGCCCTTGGGAGCCCGGCTGGTGGACTGTGCCAGGACTGCTGAATCCTGAGTTGTTCTCTCTCCCTTTGCTCAACTTCCTGAGCCCTTTGCTGGCTGCCCGCCCAGGGCCAGCATGAGGGAAGGGCTCAGGCCTCAACTTCTCACTGGCGCTGGGATCTGGCCAGACACGTAGGTGGCTTTTCCATGGCATCGCTCAAAAACTTGCTCTTGGGTGTGTGTGGTTGTGTGTGTGGTTGTGTGTGTGTGTGTGTGTGTGTGTGTGTGTGTGTGTGTATTTCCATGCCTACTCCCTAGAAACATTCCAGCTTGAGGTGCCAAAAATCACATGGTCTTGTTTTGGACTGGTAAGTGCACCAGATGCCCATCTGTAAGGCATGAGATCCAGCCATGTGTGTGTGTGTGTGTGTGTGTGTGTGTGTGTGTGTGTGTGTGTGTGTGTGTGTGTGTGTGTGTGTGTGTGTGTAGCATTGCTCACCTGCATGTGTGAATGCTGTGTTTTATATCTCTGTCTGATACAACTTTCCTTGCAGGTCATAAAGAAGGAAACTGGGTTCTGGAGGGACTTCGGATTTGGGATGACTTGTCAGTACCGGTCAGACTTCATCAACATAGGTAAGGCAAAGCTGCGTCTCTGCTGCCACCCAGAGGCCGCTTCAATGCAAGCCTTGCGCAAATGATATGGTTTTCTAAGGGGTTGATAGTAAGGCTGCCGCTCTCATTTCCCCAAAATGCCCCTTCTCGTGTCATTAGGGTAAGAGGGGACTGGGAGTGGGCAGCACCTCAGCCCTGTAATCTCTACCAGCACCTCTTGGGCCCAGAGACAATGCTGTGAGGCGCAAAGGTGGCTTTGAGGCAGATTCTGCAGGGCCTCCTCTGCCTCCCAGGTGGATTCCATTCTCTCAGGAGCACGCAGAGCCTCCAGTCAGGGCGTGAGTGGGGATATGAGAAAACAGAGATCAGGTTCCTCCTTGCCGAACCCTTGAAAGTCCCAATCACTTCTTGAAGTGTCCTAATAATATGCTTGCACACATGTAACAGAGACACCTGTGTGTACACTCACATATATACAGAAACGTGTACTATTCACAGACATGTACCAGCAGCAACAGACATACACAGACAGATGTACACACACATATACATAACATAGACACGGACATATATATATATACACAGCAACACATGCATACACATACGTGTTCTAATACACACACATACCCATGGGTTCCAAAAACCTTTCTTCTAGAGGAGAAGGCTCTCAGAGGCCTCCCAGCCAGTGAGGCCTACAGTCAAGATGAGACAGAGGGCCTCCTCCCTGTGGGAATGTCTCTCCTCATCCCCTGAGGTCCTGTGTGTTAAGCATGACCAGGATAAGAAAGACAAGGGTAGACACTTTGATCTGGGCTGATGAATGGCCAGAGAGACCCTGCCATCAGAGCAATAGGGTCCCCCTTCCCTCGGGCTCCCACACATAAGCCTTGTCTCCTCTCCCCCCCCCACTCCCCCCCCCCCGCCCCCCGTTGACTTTGTTTTGGAGCCAGGCAGGAGAGGCCTCAGGTTTGTTTGGTTTGAGATGACATAGACTACTGAGATCACAGAACCCCGTAGACACCACCGGGCTTAAAAGAAAACTTAAACGACTCGGACTCAAGTCCAGGGAGGGCAGCTTCCCCCCCCCCCCCACAAGCTGCTGCTTTATCTCACTTACGTGGCTGCAGGATCACTCAGGCAGAAACACTGAATTTCCATTCAGAAGTTGTCAAGTTCATGGGAGAGAGCAAGGGAAGGGCTGACAGTGTCCTAAAAGAAACGTACTCATCACCTGACTTATGTAACTATAACCGCTCTGTACCTTTATAATAACAATAAAGAAACTCTTAAAAAAAAAGTTGTCAAGTTGAAAAGTAAGGACTTCACAGAAGTTTGGGTCCAGAAGAAGCTGTTCACCCACACTGTCAATGGCTCTTTCAAGCAGGCAAACAAACACTTAGAATCCTGCTCTTGGTTTTGTTATCTCAGGAAAGAGATGCTTTCTGCTTTGTCTGTTTCCTTCTGGGACCTTTGACCCGGAAGGACAATCCAGTAACTTGGAGGATGGCAAGGCCCAGGGCATCCCCCATCACACCTCATCTGTGCTTATGCAGCTCAACGCCTGTGCATGTGACACGGCCCCTCTGTTCTCTCCCAACAGGTGGGTTTGACTTGGACATCAAGGGCTGGGGCGGAGAGGACGTGCATCTGTACCGCAAGTACCTCCACAGCAACCTCATCGTGGTGCGGACACCCGTGCGGGGACTCTTCCACCTGTGGCACGAGAAGCGCTGCGTGGACGAGCTGACCCCTGAGCAGTACAAGATGTGCATGCAGTCCAAGGCCATGAACGAGGCGGCTCACGGGCAGCTGGGGATGCTCATCTTCCGGCACGAGATAGAGGCTCACCTTCGCAGACAGAAGCAGAAGACAAGCAGCAAGAAAACATGAGCCCTTGCCCCCAGGGGTGGATTTGAGGGAGACATTGAATTGGCTGTTCTTATGTTACTCAAAAAACAAACCTGCAACAAGGAATAAACTTGGATCAAGGGTGGGGGGTGGGGGGAGAAGACTCTGATGAAGAGAGAGAGCCTCCAATTAAAATCCCCACTTTGTGAACATTGTTCCAATGAACCCCGAGAATTCTCCCAAAGTCGGAAAGATTGGGAGATGGCAAGATGTCCGCTGGTGCGGACATTTTGGTTGTGTTTACTGTTACGCCATTTTTCTCCCAAGAGTAACCAAAAATAACCCTATCCTTTTGGTTGTCTTTTTATCCGTCTCCATTTGTTTATTTTATTATTAATGTACTTTGTGTGGCTTGTGAGTTACAGTCTGCTTAATTAGCCATTTGCTAACCTTACTAAAAAAGCACAAGATGACATAAATGATTTTATGTTTTTTTTAATTTTAAAGAAGATTCTTTGAATGCATTATAATATCTTTCAGATTGGAACATCCAAATGATAGTGGGTCCAAGGACCTGCCAAATTCTTACCCGTCAGACACTGAATGTCTGTCCTTGACACATGGACAAATTGCTGCTGGACCATTGTGAGAAAGAGACACAGAAAAGTGTGTCTGAAGAGGAGCAACCTAACACTGGAGGAAAGGGAAGAGACGCTTCCTCAGGACCTCTTGATATATTTTAAAAGTCCAAGAATGAACCCATTCTAATCTCAGAAGAAATGAGGACCACTTTCTTATCTGTTTAAACCAAAGCTATGAAGCAAGCAATCTCTTTTCAAAGCAGCATGGTCCTTTGGGCTTCTGGCTTCCCTGAGAAGAAATGCAGAAAAATACATTTTGAGAAAGATCCATCTATCTGCCCAGAGTCCAGCGAAAGCATGGTTTTATTACATGCTCACCTTACCCTAGACAAGGTGGAAGTAACTCAATTATTTTCTACCATTAAGCAGTTTTATTCAATCACCAAGATGCTTCTGAAAATTGCATTTGATTACCATTTCAAATTATTAAAAAAATAAATACGGTTAACATTGAATGGTTTCTACATCCACATGAGAATTATTTATTTATTACCAGCACCAGATGCATGAGCTAATTATCTCTCTGATTCCTTGCCTTCTGTTTGCCGACAGTGAACTCATTGTTTAAGAGTTTCAAGAACATTCAAGCTGTTGGTGTGTACAAAAAAAAAAGCATTGTATTGATTTGTTCTGGTAGTTCATAAAATTTAATTAAACCACAAGACATGAATTGAAGGTGGCATTTGCACAGCTAATAAAATATGATTTGTGGATTTGCTTTCTTCTTGAAGGAAGAATGCTGTGTCTTTAACTTTTGGAAAACGTTATTTTATGCAGAGATCAGGGCTTCTCAAGCTTGACATTTGGGGCTAGACCCCTCTCTATTTGGTGGGGGAGTTGGACGTGGAAGGAGGTAGGCCTTGCCTACTGCGGGAGCATTCCCTGCATCCCAGTTTTGACAACCCAACGTCCCAAGTCATTTCCAAATCTTCCTGGCAGGAGAGAGGGGGTCACCCCTAGTTGAGAACCTCTAGGAGAAGAAGATCCTAATGAAAAAATTTAACCAATTATACTTTGCCTTTATAGTTAAAAGAAATTAGAAAATTATTTCAGAGGCCCCTTCCCACTTTGTGCCTACCATTTTCACATGCTATAGTGATTCCCGTGGCTTTGGGACTTATGGCTTACCGGCCCCAACTTGGTCCTGATACACACACCTCTGCTATATTCTTACAAGATCAGGAGGATGTACTTTACTAAGGCTGATGATTCTGAGCAAATATTTTGCCTATAGAATGAGGCAGTCGGTAGGCAGTTGGTACAGGTTGCACTTTGTGGACTAATAAGACATTTATTAAATTACACACTACAGATGCCCAGGACAGTGAATAAAAATTGATTTTGAAAATTGCTCAGGTAGATGGAAAGGAGACAAAATGCTTATTTAAAAAAAAGAAGCTTAGCTAGATACTAGGGTTTGAATCTTAATTCTCTGCCCCAAAGGCTCCTAGGTCAAAGCCAGCAGACAGACTTTGGGGAAATGATTGGATCCTAAAGACTTAAGCTTCATCAATGGATTAATCCCTTTGTGCAGTTATAATTTTTTTTTTGGGGGGTCCGGTCATGGGGCCTGAACTCTGGGCCTGGGCACTGTCCCTCAGCTCTTCAGCTCAAGGCTAGCGCTCTACCACTTGAGCCACAGCACCACTTCTGGCTTTTTTCTGTTTTGCTTATGTGGTGCTGAGGAATCGAACCCAGGGCCTCATGCATGCAAGGCAAGCACTCTACCACTGAGCCACCTTCCCAGCCCAAGTTATAATTTTTTTTGCCATTCCTGGGGCTTGAACTCAGGGCCTGGGCACTGTCCCTGAACTTCTTTGGCTCAAGGCTAGCACTCTACCACTTGAGCCACAGCACCACTTTCAGCTTTTTCTGTGTATGTGGTACTGAGGAATCAAACCCAGGGCTTCATGCATGATAGACAAGCACTCAACCACTAAGCCACATTTCCAGCCCTGAGCATTCATAATTTGATGATATTCTTGGGTAGAAGACCAGGAGATGAAGCCTCTTGGGAGGAAGTAGGCCCCTAGGGCATGCCCTGCAAAGACCTCCTTGTCCCCATCCCCTTCCTGGCTCTCTCTGCCTCCTGTCCTCCATGAGGTGAGCAGCTCTCTTCTACCACACTATGATGCTCTGCTTCACCACAGTCCAGAAAATATTACTCCAAGTGACCCTGGACAGAAATCTCTATAACCATGAGCCTCCTATTTGTGTCTCTCAGAGATTTGTCACCTGACTAAAAAAGGAGCAAAGTAGACAAAGGTTCAGGCTCATCATCCTTAAAGTACAAGCAAGAGATCTATCACAATTGCTTGCCCATGGCTTCTAGAAAAGAAAGTTGGAGAAGGCCCCACAGAAATCCAAGTAGGGGACTGGAACTTACATAGCAAAGGAAAGCAATCATGAAACTCTGTTTTGAAGGCTCCAGGCATATTACATCTTCTGAAGAAAGTGTACTGTGAGCTGGCGCTCAACTTTTCTCTGTATTCTCAATTCTGTTCCTGCTCCCCATAAATTGTCCAGTAAGCACCCTAACAGCTTAATGAAATCAGGTCTCCAGTACTCTTGAGGTTTCCTTGAAGCAGTGGTTCTGATGCAATTGTGTAAGAACCAAAGTCTTCCCAACTCCTCCCTTAACAGTGACAGGTGGTCATCTTGAAATCAGCCACAGTGGGAGTATTTATATCTTGGGAATTGGCAATTGACAAATGCTACAAATCAGGCCTCTCCATCCTCTACCCACCACCCCATCCCAAGCCCTTTCTTAAATTGCAATACTGCATCCACTTAGTGGCTTCTTGCGCTCAGGTTCCTTCCAGTCTTCTCCTTTCCAGCTCAGCGTTGTACTCATAAATGCGGTCAACTTGCCTCTTTCCTCATAGTGAGGAGAGAGAATCAACCTAGGAAAATAGCTGCCCACAATCTAAATTCACTCCTTTTGTTTCCAGGAAAAGCCTCTTACTAATCTAATTTGACCAGAGTGGTAACTGATATCATGGCTTCTCCATCCTAGCAACAAGGATATCCAAATTCCAATTGTTTCACATGAAGTTTATACGATCATGACTCACCCAGTGTCTCTGTACATCAGAGGTGAATGCAGCCACATCTGTATTAAACGATTGTTGTAAAGAGGGCATGAATTGGTATGGATGAGTACTTAGGACCTGACACACATGGGGCAAGTCAAGGTATTACTGACACACTGACAGTTTAAAACTGCATTTGTGGCTGGGTGCTGGTGGCTCACAGTTTGTAATCCTAACTACTCAGGGAGCTGAGATATGAGGATCACAGTTTGAAGATAGTCCAGGCAGAAAAGTCTGTGGGATTATCTCCAATTAGAGCTGTGGGTCAAGTGGTAGAGTGCTAGCCTTGAGCACAAAAGCTTAGGGACAGAGCCCAGGCCTGAGTTCAAGCCCAGTATACTCTCTCTCTCTCTCTCTCTCACACACACACACACACACACACACACACACACACACACACACACACACACACACACACACACGGCATGTCTGTGCTCAGTATGTCCAACATTGTTTGTACACAATGGTAGCCACTGTGGGTCATGCGTTAGAGATGATGAAGCTGCTGCAGTCACACTTGCCCTTTGTTTTTGACATTCTGAAAACTATCAAGGGATGTGAAGAAGAAGAGTTGGTAGGAGTGCAAAAGACAATGGATAGTTACTCCCTTAAATTCAATGCACAAACTGTACTCACTATTTTGCCTATGTAATTGTAACCCCTCTGTACAGTATTTTCACAATAAAAAAAATTCAATGCACAGCAATTTCGGTATCATGATGCCTCCTCAGCTGGGATGAGAACCTGATACTCATAGCACGAATCTTCTCAGACAAGTAACACGATTGCTTCCATTTATCTAGGTGCAGAAACTAGAGGCTCAGAAATGTTCAGGAGTTTACCCAGATGCCTGGCCAGAGCTAGCTAGCTGAAGACTCCCTGAAATCATCCTGTCATGTGGCCTCCCGATAGGCTTGAAGGTCTACAGAACCTCTTCTCTGGGCCTTAGTTTCCCACCCTTCCCATGTTTCTCAAGCCCCCTGCTGAGAAACCCAAAGAGGTGATGAAAACTGAGCAATCCAGGAATGACTGAGCACCTCCTGGGCCTCCCTCAGGCCCCAGTGTCCTGACCATGGTGAACTTCCCTGTGGGATGGAGGCCCCCGGGTCTTGCGGGAGATGCCAAGGGCTGAAGTGTGAGATTGTCTTCAGGAGGAGAGGACAGGTAAGAAACCCTGGCTTAAAAACAGACTGGATCCTATTCCTGGGTGTTACTGATTCCAGCTAATGACCTTGGGCAGCTCCTCAGAAGGGTGAGTGTGTTCTTCTCCCAACACATCAAATACCTGGCAGCTGTGTGTGATCCATATTCTGATTAGCTTTGTACTTGAATTCAAAGCTGTTTCTCCTGGCAGGACCCTGGGCTGGGCTATTGCTGCCAAACTCTATGGGGATGGTGCCAATTCGTTGAGGGGGTGGGGAACTGGTTTTCTCCCAAGGCAGAGAATAGGTTCTTTCCTGTTGGCAGAGGTGTCTTCCAAAATGTCTTCCTGTTACCAAGCCTTTGAATGCACTCTCTGGAGAAGTCAACGCCAGCTTCCTCTGGGTTGTTTCTTGTCTGCAATTTTAGCCAGAAGGCAGACACAGGGCTTGTGAGAATGGGGGGGGAGAAGTGTGAAAGAGGGTGCTGTGGGGGGAGGTCTCAGTCTGCCAGGGCTTGTCACTGCGCTGGAGAGAAGCCAGGCCAGGCTGTGGCCTTCCTACACCCAAGATCCAAGGAGGCCCAGGCCGCCTACAGGGCTTCTTCCAGGACTCGCTGTACCATGCTGGCCTGGGTTATTGGGTGACCTGCATTGAGACCTCATCCTCAGCACCCTGAGTGAGACACCTTATCCTGGAACAAGGCTAAGTACAGGGCTGTCACCAGCCCCCTCTGCCTCCCTCATTAGTCCCTGGGGCTTCGTATCTCACCACCAACCCCTCTCCATCCATGTTTAACCTGGGCAATGATACGCACCTGGCCTGCTGGAGCATTCACACCCATGTGGAAACGATTACAAAGGTTATTTTAAAAAAAAACCCACAAAACACACCGTAAGCACTCCCAGTTCAAAAGCGGAAGGCAACTTTATTAACAATTTGTCCTTTACTTCTAGTTAGTTGCTTCATATAGATCCCTATAAAGCCCACACCCATACCACAGAAGGCCGTCTGGGGCCAGTAAGAGTAACTTATGTGAGAAGCTTTTCCTGGCAACTCTGCCACACCATTAAGAACTCCCCAAAGTGGGATACTTGACATCTTGTTTGGGAGTTACTGGTCTCGTGACTCAGTTGGAGGAAGCACTTCAGACAGGTGCAGCCTTTCAACTGAAGAGAAGTGCACACTGGAGTGGATGGACAAGAAAGGCAGAGAGCCGTCCTCGGGCTTACCCATCATTCACTGGGCACCGCCTGGCCTATTGAGGGACAGGCACAGGGAGTCCTGAATCAGCAGCTTGGTGGTAAACACTGATTACTGACTGGGGGACAGCAGCAAAAGCATTAGCAAAAGCAATCCCTACTACATGCAGTCCACGTGAAATGTGCCAGTTATCTGCAGACCAGTAATGGATTGTACAAGCTGTCATTGTGCCCTTTACTCTTTAAAAGTTTCCCTTTCTGTCCTAAAACCACCCCAGACATGCTACACAATAGGCCACTAGGATAAACAGCTCAGCGGTTGTGTAAAGTGAGCTAATAAAGGGAAGATCTAGAATTCATGGCTGCTGGCTGGCTTCTGGCCTATAATCTCAGCTATTCAAAAGGCTGAGATCTGGAGGATCATGGTTTGAAGCCAGCCCAGGAAAAAGTTTCTGTGATACTCAATTGTCAATTATTCAGCAAAATGCTGGACTGGGGGTGTGGCTCAGGTGGTAAAGTGGCAGCTGTGAGCAAGAAAAGCATCTGACAACTCAGTGAGTTCAAACCCCTGTACCAGCACGTGTGTGCGTGTGTGTACACATATGTGCACGCACACACACAAAGGCACTATAAATAATACTGACAGAGTTAGGCCTAAGCTTGAGCTTCCTCAGTCACTATCTTGAAGTTGTCTCTAAGTTGGTGCTGGACCCAAAAATGACTTGATCTTCCAGTTAGCGGTACTGTAAGGCATGGAATTTTCCAGTTAGCGGTATTGTAAGGCATGGAATTTTCCAGTTAGCGGTACTTTAAGGCATGGAATTCCTGGTCCTAGCGCCAAACAAGAACTAGTTAGGTTTTCCCATCTCCCATATTTACTTCATTATGAGGATGTGAAAGTGTATACTAAAGAGTGAACCGATGTGTTTGTAAGCTACTGTATTAGCTTTCTGAAGCTACTAGAAAACACTATAAACTCATGACTTAGTCATCTCTTCTACCACAGTTCTGGGGGCTAAAAGGCTGAATCAAGGTGTGCTCCGGGCCAGCTTTCCTTCTAAAGGCTCTGGGCCTCTCCTGGCTTCTAGGGACTGCCATAAACCCCTGGCATGCCCTACCTTGAAGTTACGTCACCGCCTTGTGTGTGCATGTCTGCTTTATATCAAATCCTTCTTCTTATAAGGTTGCTAGTTGTGGGATTTGGGGGCCTGCCCTAATCCAGAGTGCATCCTCCTCTTCCCTCAGCTCCATCTGCAAAGTCCCAACACATTCACAAACAGGGGTTAAGGACTTCAATGTAGGTACGTTCGCATGAACGACTATTGCTTTTGAGTACAACTTAATTCTGAGAAATGTCTGCTTTCTTCTTTGTTCGTTTTATCTTACATACATCGCACCAAGTCACATTCGAACACCTGGCATATTTGTTCCTGTCTCTGCAGCAGTGATGACTGGCCCCTTCGGTGCACTTGCCTCATTAATTTTTGTGCCTTTAGAGAAGAAGTGCGGGCTCTTCTTGTCTCCCCCAAAGCAAACAAGCAAACTCCCAGATGCCGGCTCACTTCCCTATGGCCCTTGTGTATCCGAGGTCATGTTTCTCCTCCAGTCCTGCATTTGCAAACTCCCCATTCAATCTACACTCATGGCATCTGGTTTCTGTAGATTACATCCTGGCTCATCTAGCATGCATCATCTAGATCACCCAGGATGATGTTAACCCTCAGGAAGGACTTTTTTGGCCAGCTTTCTGAAGACAAGATGGAAGTTCATTTCAACAGGGCCTCAGAAAGGACAGAGAGGGAGTGGACAGCTCACAGGAGCTACTGCTGCTTTTGAAGTACAACTGAATTCTAAGAAGTATCTTTGTTCGTTTTATCTTACATACATCACTAAGGTGGTATTCTTCGTGTCAGGTCATTGCTGACATCGGTACCCTTATCCTTCACAGATAAGGAAGAGATCCTTTTTCCTTGGATAACACCCCGATGTCTGTGTCAAAGAGGTTTCAGCAAGGCCTCCATGGATGCTCCATGAGGGGTGCTAGCCTGGCTGCAGGGTGATTTTGGCTTCCTACATGAATGTCTGTTTCCGTAGTGTCTTGTCCAGCTGGAGGGTTAGAATGGCCTGAACAAAGGCTGTCACTCAAAGAGTTCCAGATAATCTGGTGGCTCACCCTGCTGCTGCCCGCAGGGATAGAGCAGGAGCTCCTTCCCCAGGGAGGTGATGGGTTCCTCCTGTCAATCAGAAGGTACAAGATCAGGGCTGGGTGGGGAGGGGTGGAGGAGTACGGAGCAGCAGTCATACATGGCTACATCCTCAAAGGTAAAATATTCTGGTATTTAGTAACCGGAAAAAGTAACTAGACTCCACATGCAAATGGATCGTATAAGTGGGAACTATGTTTAAGAAGAACAAATTTTTGCCAGGGGCTAGTGTCTCATGCCTAGCTACTGGAGAGGCTAAGAGCTGGACGATCAAGGCCAGCTGGGCAGAAAAAGCGTATAAGACTCCACCTCTACCCTTGATCTATGTAAAACTTTAGAAGGTTATGACCATATTAAAGATAAATTTCTCCTCCGTACTGTCACTTTCCCTTTAGGGCCCCAGCTCAAAGCTAAGGCTGTGATCAGATGGGAAAAGTGGGAGTACCGCTTGCTTATCATCTGTGGTGTTCTCTGCTCCCTGGGTATTTGAGGAGGAGCTACATTCTGTGCTAAAGAAAATGCAATGAAAAATCTGAACTATCAGGAGGAGGAAGGATCAGAGAAGAACCTTCCACCCCATGATATGTCTCAACTGGTTTTTTTCTCCTTACTGCCTTTCTTTATTAGAGTGGATAACAACTTAGGAAGGGAGTTACACTGATGAATTGTTTTACCTTGTGATATTCCACCAAATCAGCCAGGGTGGCATGCTGCAGCTGGTCCACACCGAGGAAGCTGTAGGAGTCGGCAGAGGCATCGATGAGGAAATGCTTGCAGCCCTCCTCTGACAGGTGGGATAAAGCATAGCCCTTCATCCTCTCGCTGACTCGGACCAAGAAACTGCCCGGCACGCCTGTGCTCAGGAGTTCATTTGCTCTCTTTAGGGTGAGAATTCCTGTGGGAAGAAGTAGAGAGGGGAGAGCAGGTGTTTTAGCCAACTCCTTTCTGAGCGCCTCCTATGTTAAAGCTAGGCAGTATGGGTAAGTTTAGTAAAACACCAGAGCCATTTTATATGTGCTTGGACTTCTTAGAAATATATTTTGGTGTTTTGTAAAGAGCCAAGAATAGATTCCATAAGCAAAGGGATCGTCCAAAATGAGAATGATGGTTATAAAGAACACATTTCAACTCCATGTGGATGGTTCATGCCTGTAATCCTAGCTCCTCAGGAGGTTGAGATTTAGAAGGAAGTGGTTCAAGGCCAGCCCAGGCAGAAAAGTGTACAAGACTCCATCTCCAAAATAACCCACAAAAAGTCAGACTGGAAGTAGGGCTCAAGTGGTAGAACACCCGCTGTGAGCAAGCAAGCTGAGCAAGAACAAGGCCCCGAGTTCAAACCCTAGTTCTGGCAACAAGTAAAAACAAGATCACATTTCCACTGAAGAGATTCATTTACAGCCGCACAGGTGACGGTAGAACCAGGCAAGTCAGGGGGACCCCAAGGTGCTCCCCTCAAGCCTCTGCCACCTGCTAATCAGAACGCGATGGCCTGGGAACACACGTGACTCTTGTCTAGCTGTTCTCCACCAGAGCCTTGTCTGAAGAACAGCAGGTAGAGAACAGGTGCGGCTAACTCCCCCTCAGGACAGCCTCACACTGCAAAGAATTGTCCAGCCCAGGGTGTCAACACTGCTGAAGCTGGAACTTCCTGGTTCGGAAGGTCTGAATTGAGGGCCTGAATCATGGATCCACGTCTCCAGAGGGCCTTCTACAATCTATCTGCTTCCATATCCACTGGCATTTAAGGGATCAGAGCTTTGTTTGTTTATGTCTTTGCATGTATGTTTATGTCTTCGCACATATTCAAAGGAGTTCTTCCTATATACATGAGATTTTACATAGAGACAGAATTTAGAGGCCCCATGAATTCGGACCAGTCTTTTCTCCAGTTCATAAAAGTCTTAGGATTTGACTCCCATCCTGAACTTCATCTCTTATTCCTGCTATAATTCTGCAGGTGAATGGAAAATAAGTAGAAAGAGCACCAATGCATCATTATGTGGAATTGCCAGTATGCTCTGAATTGCTGGTGTAATAAAGGGAAGACAGAAAAAAACAAATCCACCATAAGGAAACACCACCAGATAAACTGAGTCATAGTATCCAGGTTACAAATCTCAAAAAAAGAAGCCATTGCTGTAGCAATTCCAGGCCCCCCACTCGCTGCCCCAACCTTCCCCAGCCTGAGCTCAGACTCATGGCCACACACTACACAAGCAGCGTGGACCCCTACAGTGGGCTGCAAGCTTTTTAAGGACAGGCTCTCTAAAGAAATTACTGTTGTTTTCACAACAATGGAGATCTATTTTATGCCAGGTGCCAGTGACTCATGCCTGTAATCCCAGCTACTCACGAGTCTGAGATCTGAGGATCATGGTTCAAAGCCAGATGGGGTAGGAAAGTCCATGAGACCTTTATTTCCAATTAACCATCAGAAAACTGGAAGTGGAGCTGTGGCTCAACGTGGTAGAGCACTAGCTTGTGGTAAGAGCTCAGAGACAGTGCCCAGGCCCTGAGTTCAAGCCCTACAGTGCCCAGGCCCTGAGTTCAAGCCCTACAACCAACAACAACAAAAAACGTATTGGAGTTCCAATTATTCTGTGTGTGATGCTGTAACTGTGAGTGATGCTTCATAGTAGGGTTAAGGTTATGAAGGGACAGCTGCTTAGTCCTAATATGCCATGCCAGAATTACCATGTCCATGTCCTGTGCTGAGACCTTCTCCATTCACAGATTTCCTTTCTAAAAACAAGCCTATGAGCCGGGCACTGGTGACTCACATCTGTAATCCTAGCCAATCAGGAAGCTGAGATCTAAGGATACCCTGAGATCTGTCTGGAAAAAAGTCTGTCTGGAAAAAAAAAGCCAGAGACTCTTATCTCCAACTAACCAACAAAATGCTAGACCGGAGATGTGGCTCATGTGGTAGGGCACCCACCATAAGTGAAAGAGCTGAGGAAAAGCACAAGGCTCCAAGTTTCCTGAGTGTGGTGGTACATGTGTGACATTCCAGCACCTGGGAGACTGAGGTAGGAGAATCATGGCTCCAGGGCCATCAAGTTTCCTGAGTGTGGTGGTACATGTGTGACATTCCAGCACCTGGGAGACTGAGGCAGGAGAATCATGGCTCCAGGGCCATCAAGTTTCCTGAGTGTGGTGGTACATGTGTGACATTCCAGCACCTGGGAGACTGAGGTAGGAGAATCATGGCTCCAGGGCCATCTGGAGCTCTATGAAAGCCTGCCTCAAAAAATAATTCTATGACATACATTATCATCGCCCACATCCACAGGGAAGAACACACAACTCAGACCTCAGTGATCTGGTCATTGCCTGGATAGTCCAAACAAGCAAGCACTCTACCACTGAACTCCACCCCCAATCACAGACTGCACTGAAACCAACGTAGGGTTTAAAGAAGCCACTACCTTTTCTCAAAATCCAGGAGACTGAGAAGTTATCATGAGCCAGCTAGACAGAGGTGCTTGTTAGTTTAAACACAGCAATGATTAGTGACTACCTGCTCAGAAATCCAACTATCCCACTTTGCAGCTATAACTATAACAGAAACAAGGGATAGAAGCCACAGAATATTTAAAGATCTCAAAGTTTAACTCTACCAGTTAACAGATAAGGGACCTACAACTCAAAGAAGAGAACAATAATGGCTTAGTCGAGTTCACTCCACTAGTTAGTTTAAGGAATCGACCTTGTATCAGCGAACTACCATCAGCCATCGACCCCAGCTGATCCCATGGGCAGAAGGGTACCCAGTACCCTTGTCGGAGTCAGCAGGAAACTCCACTTTTTCCACCCACCCCAGGGCAAAGAGTTTGTGGTGGTATTATCCCACGGCGTGTACAGGGGACGCTGATAGCCTTCTAAGCAGGCTCGGGAAGGCAGCTCATAGAGAAACCTTTGAAAAACTTCTTTGTGGAAATCATTTGAAAGACTCTTTGGGGGCAGCACCCATAAAAGGCAGCTTTTATTCTTTCTGCCTGCCCAGTGGATTAGCACCACTTCCCAGGGGATTAGCACCACTTCCCAGGGGATTAGCACCACTTCCTAGTGGATTAGCACCACTTCCCAGGGGATTAGCACCACTTCCCAGGGGATTAGCACCACTTCTCAGTGGATTAGCACCACTTCCTAGTGGATTAGCACCACTTCCTAGTGGATTAGCACCTCTTCCCAGGGGATTAGTACCACTTCCTAGTGGATTAGCACCTCTTCCTAGTGGATTAGCACCTCTTCCTAGTGGATTAGCACCTCTTCCCAGGGGATTAGTTCCACTTCCTAATGGATTAGCACCACTTCCTAGTGGATTAACACCTCTTCCCAGGGGATTAGCACCACTACTTAGTGGATTAGCACCACTTCCCAGGGGATTAGCACCACTTCCCAGGGGATTAGCACCACTTCCCAGGGGATTAGCACCACTTCCTAGTGGATTAGCACCACTTCCCAGGGGATTAGCACCACTTCCTAGTGGATTAGCACCACTTCCCAGGGGATTAGCACCACTTCCTAGTGAATTAGAACCACTTCTCAGGGGATTAGCACTACTTCCTGGGGATTAGCACTACTCCCCAGGGGATTAGCACACTTCCTCAGCTCTCACCATGGAACCAGGGGGCAATCGTGTCAGAGCTCTTCTGGAAGCCAGCTCGGAGAGGGAGCTGCTCCTCTTTGAACCATCGGATGATGTCTGCCTGGGCAGAGGTGGGAACCATCCTGGTCACTCCCGGATTTCTGTTAGGTGAGATACAGTTGTATAGAGAGTTAATGCCTTTGAAAATAATGACCTCAAAAAAGAATGAGTATATATCTCTACTTATCTATTTATATACTACCCACTTACCCATCACCAATCTACTTATATATTCTATCCATCTCTAGAATCTGGGTATTTGCCTACTAATCTCTTCATACACTAGCTACTTATCTACTTAACTATCTTTCTCTAGAAACACACTTTCTACTTAATATTCTATTTATCTATCTCTCTAATACTCCACACATATAGTCTCTCTCTCTCTCTCTCTCTCTCTCTCTCTCTCTCTCTCTCTCTCTCTCTCTCTCTCTCTCCTGCATCATTGCATCTAACTATCTAACCAATGGAGGAGTGAGAACATCCAAGAAAAATAATTGTACATACAGAGAGATGATTTTTCTTGTCATTATCCCCTAAACAGTACAGTATAATAGCTATTTGCATAACACTTAACATTACAGCAAGTGTCACATGTCATCTAGAGATGATTTAAAGTACAAAAGAGGAGGTGCATACATTATTTTACATAAAGGACCTGAGCATCTTCAGCTCCTGGTATCTGCAGGGGGTCCTGCAACCAATTCCCACAGATACTGAGGGATGATGATGTACACACACGTATACACACATTCATGTACACACGTGCTCACATGCATGCATGCATTTACATGTACAACACACCTGTGCACATGCAATTATACACACATACACATTTATATATGTATACACATATACAAATGCATACTCATACGCACATACCTACACATACACAGAGAAGGAAGTATATAGATCTAGTTCCATGAGCTGAGCTCAGGGGAGTTTGAATTCCCCCACCACCCTGCAGTATACAATTCCTCAAAGACAATCAGAAGAAAGAACATTAATCTGTCGCTTGTGCTTCTGGTCCTTAAGGACTCCGAAGTAGGAGCCACTGCTGTATTCATATACAGATTCATTTTCATGGGAATTAGAAGATCTATTAACTGCCAATTAAAAATATGAAAAAGCATACCTTAAACACGTCACCCCAGCACTATTTTCCTGGATGGTACATATTTGAAAACAACAGAAACCCTAAATGAGGAAATAAATTGTTTTCCTAGCATGTCAAGTTATTTGATTTGTTCTTTTTCTGTGTCTTCTGTCTTCCCTGACTTGCTTTGTTCTCCCTGACACTTTGGAGAGGTTTGGTTCTACCAAAAGATAATGTCAGAAATATTAAGTAACAAGGAAGAAGACTGAAGACCTGGAAGAAAAAGCAATAGAATAATTCTACAGTAAAGTGACAGGCCAAACTTAAGTTCTAGGCTGGAGTGAATTTCACTACAAAAAGCAAGTCTGCAATTCAGTGAACATATTTCAGCTCCTTCCCAAATAGTCCACTGTGTGCGCAGAATTCAGTTCAAAGCCAACATACTGGACACTGCTACCTCACACCGGTAGCCTGTAATGCTAACTACTGTGGAGGCTGAGATCCAAAGATCATGGTTCAAAGCCAACCCAGGCAGACAAATCTGCGAGATGTTTTTCTCTAACTAACCAGAAAAAAAGCCAAAAGTAGAGGTATGGCTCAAATGGTAGAACACCAGCCTTGAGAGAAAAAGCCAAGCAACAAGAACATGAGGCTCTGAGTTCAAACCCAATACAGACAGACAAAAAAAATCCCCAAACACAGCAATAACAGAGAGGGGAGATGAACTACTGGAATGTCTTATAATGTACATTAATGCTATGACATATGCTAACGTGAACTAGTCATGACTATATGTCCACATGCATACATGTGGATATATGATCCCTTGTGATTTTCGAGCATTTTGGAAAAGATATCTTCTAATATTTGACTTCCCCTGGAAGCAGACAGCTTTCATAGGCATACAATTGTACTAGCTTCCAAATTAGGTTCTTTTCCTCTCAATGATCCTTAGGGATGGAGCAAAAATCTCCAAAGACAGAGTGCGTGTCTGTCTTCTCCTCGGCTGGCTCCTGGCTGACCTCTGTCATGGCTGTTTAAGATCCCAAGCCTCACCCCATCCAGTCTGACACACCAGAAGTACTTCATGCCGCCTCCTCTTCATCTGGAAAAACTGAGCCCAGAACAGCTCACAACAGAGGCTGCCCTGTCCAAAAGAAAACATCATGCACTCAACGGTCCCTCCCTAGTGCGTGGTCCATGGGTGTTGAGCTCTTTGTGTAAATATGGACTCTTTCTTTCAGCCGGGCAAACAGCCATCATGACCGAAGAAAGGCCCACCCTCAAGTCTCCTTGTTTAAAGAAAAAAGAATTTGGATGCTCGTGGCTCATGCCTGTAATCTTGACCACTCTAAATGAGGATCAAGGGTCAATACCAGTATGGGCAGAAAAGTTCCTGCAACTCTTATCTCCAATTAACCAGCAAAAAGCTGGAAGTAGAGGCATGGCTCAAGTGGTAGAGTGCCAGCCTTGATTGAAAAAGCTAAAGAACAGACCCTTAATTCCAGCCCTGGTATTAGAGGTGGGGAAAGGCATTGGCACTAACTACTGACTCAAAGCAGTCAGATTTTTGTTTTTCATTCCCCAAATTCCTAACAAAGAAGTAGTTTCAGGTTTTACTTCAGAAAGCAACGGTATTCATAGCTCTGTTCAATCAGTACCTGACTTCACACATTTTCTCTCTAAATATTCCAGGGTCAGGGGTTGTGGCTCAATGGTAGAGCTCTTGCCTACCATGTATTATTCCTGGATTTGATCCCTAGCTCCACTTACTAATAGACAAGAGAATATCAAAAATGCTTTTATTCAGTGAACATGAGGAATGGGCTCCTGCTGAGGTCGTACTGTATTTTTCTGGTACATTCCAACACATAGTGTTCTTCCTAATTCTGCCACAGCCTAGGAGGCAAAGGTACCATCTTCACCAGAGAAAGAGTTCGTTCACAAAAAGGAGTGTGTCCCATTTCTCCAAATATCAACTGGGCTATTTATTTATCTCAGAATGACAACTGCAATCACACCTGGGCGCCCACAGCCTAGCATGATGACCTGCAGCTGTACACCTAGCTACTTGGAAAGGAGATTGGGAAGATTGCAGCTCAAATCCAGCCCAGGCAAGATGTTAGGGAGACAAGGAGACATTCCCCCAACTCCCACAATCAAACAAAAAGCCAGGTATGGTGGCAGACACCCGTAATCTCCCTATCTATACAAGAGGCTGACGTAGGAGGATCGGAGTCTGAGGCCACCTATACCTCTGGGTCCCTTGATATGTGTCTTTACCCCACATCTAAATGCAGTGGTGTGTGGCTGTGGCTTCTTACCCAGGTAGCTTCTGTGGGCACCCTGCCGGGGGTAGAAACTGGGGCTTGGGTGGAAGGGGCGGTCTTCGGGGCTTCTGGGGACCACTCTGCAGCCCCTCACCGCTTCTTCCCCTCTGGGATAACCTCTTGTAGTCTTCCCTCGCTTGTTTAGCCAGGGAGCGTCTCTTCTCATCCGCTGCTTTGGATTTTCGCACTAGAAAAACAACATGGTGTGAGAAAGACCCCCTGGAGATGCAGTCCTCAGCACGCCATGACAGTGCGCATGGCATCTGTCATCCAAGGGTGTGAACGGACCATCTATCCATCGATGTCTGTGATCAGACCTCAGGGCTCATTCTCCACACTGTCTGCATTTAGGAACTCAGGACCTTCAGAGAGGGAGTGCGAAGAAAGAGGGGGAGGAAGGGAGGTGACCCAGGTGAAGTTGGCAAGGGTAAGCGTGGAACCTCAGGCTGCGTGAGGATTGGAATTAGCATAAAAGGCACGTGTCCCGTCCCCTTCCAAACCCACATTCAGGACACAGTATGCTTTGAGTCATTAGCCATGACCAGAAAGGCAGGTGCTGTGTGACTGGGACCAGGAAAAAGGGAGAAGGCAATCAAAGAGACCCCAGGAGCTAAACCAAATCAGAATTGGTATGACAGACAAAAAGTAAAGAGATGCTATCCAAGCACGTTCTAGAAGAAGTATAGAACATGTTAATACATGTAAAAGTATCCCACAGCTGCCTTTAACAGTATTTTTTATGGTGGCTGGGGAGACTTGTTTCATTTTACAATGTGAAAAAACTACTAATACAGAATGTAAATGTAATTTTCACAGAGTATATTTTTAGTCCAGGCATTATTGGTCAAATCCTGTCGTGTTTGACTTCAAAGAGGTCTCCAGATGATTTTATTACACTAGGATTTCAGTACCTAGCACAGAAGGTTATGGATTGGTTCTTGTAAATATTTTCACTTCCCCACAAAATTATCATTTTAATAGCATTTGCCATAATGGGACTGCAGAAAAATTTCAGATTGTGAACATTCTGTAAATACTGCCAGTCCTGCACTCTTGTTCAACCTGTCTCAAGGGATAAGCTAGAAGTGTAGCTTTTGTCTGTGTCTAGTGGAATCTTCGTTCTTTCTCCTACTGAATTCTAGCATCCTTGAGCATCCTACCCTTGGGGTGGCTGACATTGGTTTGTTCTTCCCCTGTAGCGTTCTCTCTGCAGAGCTAGCTCAGAAGGGGGTGGAGGTTTGCTCACAGCCACAGAAAGGATGCTTACACATGCAGGCAGTCGGGTTCACAAAGACACCTGTATGCAAACATCATTATGTCCTGCAACTACTGCAGGGTGTCAGTGAAGAATAGAACTATTAGCTGGCCACATGTTGTTCATGCCTATAATCCTACCTACTTAGGAAGCTGAGATTTGGAGGATCAAAGCTCTAAGCCAGTCTGGGCAGAAAAGTCCTTTGAGATTATATCTACAGTTTACCAGCAAAATACAAAACTGAAGGTGTGGCTCAAGAGGTAGAGTGCCAGGTGTGAGTTAGAGTTCCAGGCTCTGAGTTCAAGCCCTTTTACTAGAAAAGAAGGGACATGCACTGTTGAACATTAGGGAAAAACAAAACAGGGCAGAAAACACAAATAGTCTTAAACCTCACCTCTAAGAAAACTAATGTTGACAGGTTAATAATCTTCCAGCTCTTTTCCTTCATAACTTACTTTCAGATAGTGATATTTTTATACTCATCTTTAACTTATTTTTCTTCTCCAAGCCAAAAAGACATATTCTAAAGGCCCTGAACACTCTCCTAAAGCATGTGTCTCAGAGTCACATCCACACTATTCCTTCATGTACAGGGGTCGCCATTTTCATGATATAAACTGAGGAGAATTCTATTCAAAAGCACTTGGCCCAAAACTACCAGTTAACTTAGTGAGTCTAGTGTTACATTGCCTCTCTAGACACCTGTAAGTGCTTTCAGGACGCATCATCGTGTGAACTGAGAGCTGAGAGGCGGGAAGCTGGGAACAAGGCCTCTGCATACTCACAAGATGCCTGCCACTCCGAATCTTCTTTCCAGCTCGTACAAATCTGCTTGGCTTTCTCTTCCTCTACTTGTTTGATTTCTTCATCTGGTTTTTTCTTCAAGGGTTCTTTCTTCTGTGTTAAAGAAGAGAGAGAGACAGAGAGAGAAGAGAGAGACAGAGAGAAAAGAGAGACACAGAGAGAGAGAGAGAAGAGAGAAACAGAGAGAGAGAGAGAGAGAGAGAGAGAGAGAGAGAGAGAGAGAGAGAGAGAGAAAAGCATTGGTGATCAATCCATTTAACAGTTTTCTGGAAGGACTAGGGCATAAAACCTGCCTGACTTTTGTGGTGTTGTTTGTTTTTAATGACTCTACATAGTGGGGCTTCCCTGTGCTGTTGCCATACACGTACCATGTGATTTGCTCTAGCTTACTAGAAGAGCATCGGGTACAAGCCTCACCTGAATCCCATGGCTGCCCAGCTGTGGAACTCGGAGGACCCATTCCTGAGAGTGAAGGGGTTAGAGGTATTTCACAGGGTTATAGCGAGGGCTACATTTCAAAGTGCCAGGCAGAGTGCAGATGACGAGTATAGCCTCAGTAAACAGATCTCTCACCCAGACAGAGCACTTAACCACCCTAAATAGCCTTCCGGAAGTCAACACACTGCTCAAAACAGTGTAAACACTACTTAACGGGGTAGAGAAGCAGTGGGGGCTGTGCGTGGCGTCTAACCAAGGCCTAAAACTGAGGCATCACAGCTGGTTCAGAAAGGAACGTTGTTGCTTAAGGAAAAAAGAAAAGCATATTTTAAAACTTCCATCCAGCAAGGAAAATGCAAAATAATGGATGTGACGGCTCTTTTAAAAAGGGAATTCAGGCTGGGTGCTGTGGTTCTTGCCTGTAATCCTAGCTATACTGGAGGCTGAGATCTGAGGATTGCAATTCAAAGCCAGCCTGGGCAGGAAAGTCCATGAGACTCATATCTCCAATGAATTTCCAAAAAGTCAGAAGTAGATCTGTGGCTCAAGTGGTAGAGCTAGCCTTGAACAACAACAACCAAAAATGCTCAGGAACAGTGCCCCGGCCCTGAGTTCAAGCCTCAGGTTCAGCATGTGCGCACACACATGCACACGTACATGGAATTAGGGAGTTTTTAAATTATAGTATAAAAATAAATGGAAGGTATTTACTGTCTTCATGGTTTTAAGTACATCTCATTAAGTAGAATCAAGGGAACTTATTTTAAACTGAAGAGAAAACCTGAATCATTTAGACCTAAAAAGTACTGTGTTTATGTGGATATGGCCTTCTAAGAGTTCCTTAGCAAAGTGAATGTACAACCTGGTAAACTAACACAAGCCTTGATAGCAAAGTAATAAACAGACTAAAAGACTAGCCCTATGTCCGTCTTCTTTATTACCAGTGAGCTCCTTCCTTCCTTCCTTCCTTCCTTCCTTCCTTCCTTCCTTCCTTCCTTCCCTCCTTCTTTCCTTCCTTCTCTCCCTCCTCCCTTCCTTCCTTCCTCTCTCTTTCTTTCCCTTTCTTTTCCTGTACAAAGATCAAGACTTTCAGACTCCCTTACTGTGAAATTATTTTGCCACAACTAAAACACAAATCTAAATGCTAAGAAACTTGTTTTTAATCACCATAGAAAGTCATCAGTCACAGTATAATGCAATGATAATTCATAAATTCTGTCCTTCACATACAACTTTTATGTGTCCTCTATGTTCCTTACTCTGTTAACCTCTCTAGAGCTCAGCTCCTTTTGCTAGCAAACACAATGGAGTCTAAAAACCAAAGAACAGATGTAGAGTTTGAAATGACTGTTACAATGTACCATCCCTGACTGAATCTGTGCACAGACCTGAAGTACACAGAAGCGCTGGGAGCTATTTCCACATTTAAACAGAAATACTAAAGCTGGAGCTCTGTTCCACACGCCACATGTCTTCAAGGTGGCTAAGAAAACATTGCTGTAAGATCAAACTAGTACTATCATAGAAGCTTGGTGCGAATAAGCAGGAAGTTTAAAAAGTGAAGGAAAACATTAAATGAATAATCGCACAGGTATTAAGTAGCTAGATGATAGGCCATGCCATAATGTCTGAGAATGCTGTATTTAGTAAACCTGCCTCTGAGCTCAATGGGGAAGGAGACCAAATGAACAAGCTTCACAGAATAACAGCAAATGAGATCTGGCTCTCATCTCTTGACTTATTCAGAGCAGCTAGAAAACCTAAGAAGTCCAGAGCTGTCTCTAAGAGCAGGAAGCCTGATTCATTACCCACGTTTAGCATGGGAAGTTCCATCACCCTTGTTTATAGAAGCATGGCAAGTGATCGGCTCATTCTCACCACTTATCTGCTATCTTGGACCATGTCAAGACAGTCTTGTCTTCATACCTTGACACCTGCTGTCTCCTGTGTTCCCAACATCCATCCACCTTGTTCCCTTGTTTCTTCAGGTCTCTGTTCTGTAGGACTTCTCAGAGTGGCCCTCTCTGACCGCCTGTCTAAAAACGCCACCTCCCATTCTCCTAGCATTCCTTAACTCCCTCATCCTGCTTCATCTCCCGCCATGCACATATGATCACCTGGCTTCCAAGTTCTCATCTGTCCCCCCACCCACACTGGCAATAAGTTCCCTGAGAAGGGAAGCTCGATGTAATTTGCTCATAAAAAATGCTTGCGATTTCCACCCCAGAACCTAGCACACAGCACACATTCAAGAAATGATTGTTGAGTGAATACCTGGACTGTCCTAGGTCACTTAATATAACATAATCTTGGTGGTGCAGCTGAAAACTTCCCTTAAGTCCTTCATTGCTCTTGTTTTAGAAACAGGCATGTGTGCATTGTCCCCCAGTACCCAGGAGCCCCTGCTGATATACCATAATTACTTTACATACAATAGAAGAATCTTTGCATAGAACCTGCATCTCCTCTTACATACTTTAAATTGTGTAATGCCTAATACAATGGAAATGCTGTCTAACTAATTATTGCACTGTATTATTTAAAGGATAATAAACAAAAAGGCAGTACATGGTCGATACAGATAAAATTCTCCTCCAAATATTTTCAACCAGTGGTTGAATCTAAGTAGATATAGAGGACACACTGTATTGTATCATCAATATGCCTGTGTGGACTAGCATTCCAAAACTTCATCACTTCAAGAAGTCTCAAAGCTGTGAGCTGTCCCAGTTTCCATGTGTGTCCCCATGAAGGAGTGAGGGTCTCAGTCCTGAGGATCACATGACCTCTGGGCAGCCTCCTATTCTTACTATGTTTTCTGCATATCAGAAGATGAGCTTAGCCTGTGGGGACAATGTCACATCTGGATGGGCAGGAGAGCAATCACAGGTCTCTAGGGGTCTTGCCTCATTGGACATGGATGTCCAAAGAGGTAGCTTGTCTCCAAGGGCCAGACTCACAAAACAAGCACACAAGCCACACCATCAGAATTCACTAGGGCTACCAAGGTTAGTGTGCCACTTATTGCTCTTCAACATCATTCTTCGCTCAGTGTTCACAGCCCCTCGGGACGTTGCCTGTGTCTTGGCTCTTCAGTGAAAAGTCATCAGATGCATCCTGGCATCTGTTCTTGGCATGGCATCCAAGACATTGCCAACTCGAGATAAATGGGGCAAGATGAATAGCTGTGTTTGCAGCTTTCAAGACAGATTTCACATTCTGCTGCCTAATTTCAATTCTGCATGAGACTAATAGACTAATTTGTGAAACATCAGTGGAACTGGCTATACATTTAGGCCCCTGAAGACAAAACGTGAAGTCTTTTTTTACCTGATGAAATCCATATGCCTTCATACGATTGATAGAATCTGCCAACATTTGTTGAATATTTCTTGAAGAACTGGTGGTTGACTAAAAATTAAATGAGACACATTTTTTATAGCATTTAGAGCTGGCATGCAGTTTCAGAAGCCAATCTGCCGATGCTTCCTCGGTTATGTTCACTAATACTGCCCAACCCCCACAGCCAAGCTATCCAAGTCTCCTTTTCCAGGGGCCAATTAAAGCTAGCAGCAGACATGTGATGCCTTAACTTCCCAGCTCAGTAGGGCATAGGAATGAATTAGTGTCCAAAAGCCAGGAGCTGACAGTTTGGGTGTCTTGTTTCTGTCTGGCCCTGGGATTCCTACATGACTTCTAGACATTAACATTACTTCTTAACTTAAATTTTCTTCTTGATTGTTCTCTACAACCTGTATTAGCTCTGACAAGAGAACTGTCTCAGTCTCTAGCATGTACCTGCATAGTCTTGCTCCCTGCCAGGACTAGAGGAACATGCCTGGAAGAACACGAGTGAGAGCCTGAATCCCTGCCCACTTCCCCAACCTGTGTTACACACTTCCTCCCTCCCTGCCCTTATTACCCAGTCACTAAGTTTCTGCTGTTCCGGATGGATTTCTCAGGAAGCAACTGAAGGATCATCTTTGGTCTTGATTCCCGGTGCCATTCCTACCTGCCACAAGCTGACCCCTCAGCTTGGTAGCTCAGCTCCCAACATAGAGACATTTCACTGGCTCTCATCACCCTCTCTCTGGCCTCAGTGCAGAGCCTGAGCAGATGATGCCCTCATGGGCATTTTGCTCTGTGTAGCTGTGGAGAGCCAACCACAAGCACCATTACTGTGACTTACATGTTCTGTGTCTGAATCCTAAATTTGGTATGTATCAGAAACAGTCACCTAAAAGGTCTGCTTGGCTATTCAGTGAAGAGTAAGAGGACTCTGTGGGGTCACTACAATGCCAAGTGTAAACCTGTATGGATGGCAGAGACCCTGGCTATCTCAGTTACATTTTTTTACCAGCATCTGGGCAAATAGCTGCCCTGCTAAACTGCATCTCCCTACAATTAACTGCGCCCAGGCCAATAACGTATTTCAATGGAATATAGGTGGGAACTGGCATTTGTCACTTCCATCTGGACCCTTAAAACCTCCTTCATACATTCCTCTAGGCTACTTCTACCTCCACAAGCTACAAAGGTCACAGTAGCCACTAAGGATAACAGAACCACAAAAATTCTGAGGTCTTCGAGGACTATGTGGTCCTCTGGAGCCAGGACACCCACCCTGAACTGTTGTAAGAGAAAAATTAACTTCTACTGTGTTTTAACTTACAATATAGTTTTAAAATTTCAGTGGCCTTAGCTGGCCAAACTGTCCCCAATATCCTGGCTTTCTATCAAGAATGTTCATCAGCTGGGTGCCAGTGGCTCACGCCTGTAGTCCTAGCTACTCAGGAGGCTGAGATCTGAGGATCACGGTTCAAAGCTAGCCTGGGCAGGAAAGTCTGTGAGACTCTTATCTCCAATAAACCACTAGAAAACCGGAAGTGGTGCTCAAGCGGTAGAGCGCTCGCCTTGAGCTGAAGAGCTGAGGGACAGCGCCCAGGCCCAGAGTTCTAGCCCCATAACCGACAAAAAAAAAAAAAAAAAAAAAGAATGTTCATCATACAGGAGGGAGAGGAGGGTTCAATGAACGGTAATTCTACTCATGGTGACCAGCCATGGGTATGGCCACCGTTTGAGTGAGTTCCTAAGTTATGATGCTCCCTTTTCAGATGAGGAAACGGAATCTCAAAGGAGCTGTTGCCATTCTCAGTCTCAGCTAGTTAATGCCATTGTTCATACTTCCCCCCCCCCCACTATGTTGACATTATAGTGATAGGAAAATGAGATTTGGGTTAGGCAATTTCTTAGGCTTATTACCTGGCTCAGTAATGGATCTGTTTCCCAATCACTACTTAACATATTCTCTTTCACTATATTTTCATTCTATTATGATAAAAGGTCACTTAGCTACTCTGTATCTAAAACAGAACAGTACATTAATAGCTCCTTGACTCATGAACTACTCCAACAGGTTTTGTGAAAGTCTGTTCAGGAATCCAAGATGAAGCCTATGTTGGTGCATGCCTATAATCCCGGCATTTGGGAGGCTTCGGCAGGAGGACCTTAAGTTGGAAGACAGCCTGGCTACACAGTAAAACCACACATCAGAAAAAAAAATTCTTTCTTCACTGATCTAAGACCTATGAAGTAAGGCATTATTTGGGGGGGAAAAAAAAGGATCAGTTTCTTGTATGTTGAAAACTAGGCATCAGGTAACTACCTTTCTCTGATATCTCCTTAAGTGTCCTAGCCAAAGCTCCAGATATTCTAGCTACACTTGGGCAATCAGAGGACCTGGGACTATTTCTGTACTTTGGACTTAGAATGTGGCCTAAAGGCCCACATACTCAAGGCAGAGCCCTTGAGGTAGTGCTAAGTTTTAAGAGGCCAGACCTAGTGGGAGTTCTTTAGGTTATTGTGGTGTGCCCTCAAGACAGATTATAGGACAATGGCCCCTTCTTTGCCTCTTCAGTTGCCTGGCCAGGAGGTTGGTTCTATTCTACCACGTGCTCTTGCTGCGGTCGACACCTCATCAGAGGCCTGAAACAACCAGATCAGGTGATCTCCGACAAAATCTCTAAAACTGTGAGTGAAAACAAGTCTTCTCTCTTAAGATGTTGATTATCTCAGAGTTTGGTTACAGAAAGCTCACTAGTACACCCTTGCAACAAGAGATTTCTAAGCCAGGACTTTGTCAGTTGCACCTGACTGTGCTCTGTTTTTGAGCTCTCCAACCATCCCATTTCCTAAATTAGCATTAGGCTAGCAGACATTTGACACAGTGACCTTATTCTGAAAAGTGTTGTCTATTTTGCAAAATATACCCCCATCCCATCTCTTACCAATGAATGTCATACGCATGGAGAAAAATTCATGTAGGTTTAGTAACCAACATGAATTATTCTATCTCCTAGGACTATACATCTGCTGGGCATACACACGTTGTTTTCTTACCACCTGCTCTCTAAGAATCTTCTTAACTTCCTTCCTCTTATCACCACGTACCTTTTCCTTCACTGGCACTGTGAACACAGGCAGTGTGTTAGCACTTACCAGATGTGATGAGGTATTAATATTCCAAAAACAACCCACAGCTAAGCCTAGTCAAGGTGCCAGACAGTGTGAATTGAAGCAAACCATTGCAGGGTAGGAGGCGACAGACTTCCTCTGTCTTTCACATGTTAAGCTCTGTTTTCAGAACCAAAGTTCACAAGTTGGTTCTTGAGTAGAAGTATTTTAAGATAAAATTGATTTGCTTAACTACCACCTCAGGGCTGAATACTTCTGCTCAAATACTTTACTATGTTTAAGGCAGAGTGTAAATCCTGCACCATTTTTGTACCATAGGATTGAAATTTATTATAAAAAGAAAACACACTATCTGCTTTTCAAGGTGAACCAAGATTTATCATTATCTTAAAATGTTAAATATGAAGAATTTAAGACCTACTTAGAGCAGTTCATTTGAATTTACTTAGATAATCTAAAGATCCACGAACTATACCAAGTAGAATTTTCAGTCAATAGACTGAAAATAATGTCATCCAAAACAAATTTCTATTATTAAAAAAAAAAAAAATCAGCCAACCAACCAGGTACCAGTGGCACACTACTATAATCCTAGCTATTCAGGAGGCAGAGATCTAAGGATTGCAATTTGAAGCCAGGCTGGGCAGAAAAGCCCATAAAACTTTTATCACTCAGGAAAAACTGGAAGGGGCACTGTGGCTCAAGTGGTAAAGCACTAGCCATGAGCACAAAGAGGCTCAGGTACAGTCCTCAGGCCCTGAGTTCAAGCCCAAGGACTGAAAAAGAAAAAAAAAAAGAAATACACCAGACTAATGGGCTCAAAAGTGATGACTATGATGCCAATACCAGAAAAAGAGACACAGAAATTCCATTGCTGATGTAAGCATTCCCAGAGGAAGGATGAAGGGGTTTCCCAGAGATGGTACCACACCTTCTCTGGAGCTCTCATTTGATAAGTACACTCTTAAGTCATCACCACACAAAAGCAAGGGAGAAGAGCTACCTCTACAGGTGTACAATTGGCTTGAAAAGCACTTTCAAGTCTACTACATCCTTTGACTTTCATATCCATTGTCAGAATGGGTATTATCCAGTTACCAAAGAGGTAAGGTAGCCTGTTAGTTGGCCAGAGAGCCGGGGACTCAAGTCTTCTCGGAGTATTCCCTGCCATCATCTCCCACCTGCCGCACTGCACAAACTTCTGCAGCCACTACAGATCTATGGGAGATCATGAAACCAACCAAACTGTTTGAAAAAGGGGGAACAAAGAAGGAGGAAGAACAGGAATGTAACGGAGGTAGTGACCTTTCTCAGAGTACACTGTATGCATGCATGGAATTATTAGCATGGAATTTCTTTGAAGTATTCATATGTACTAATTCGAAAGAAAAAAATCTGTGGGACAGTTAACGCAAAACACTTTTATGAGTCTTTATGTACAATCTACTAACAATAAAGAGAGAAACTGAAAGCTAATATTAGGAGCCAGGGGACCTACTACAGATACCCAACTCAGAATGAAGAACCTGGTGAGATCTCTGTGTATAATCCATTGAGATCAGCCAAGAAACAATGTGTACACACACACACACACACACACACACACACACACACACACACACACACACACACACACACACACTGCTCAGCATAGAGGTGTCACAATTCCTCTACAGATGCCAGTGGGTTAGGAATAGATGCCCTGGGCACCATCACCACCACATGGCTGCTAACTGTATTTATCCCACAGAGTGTCAAATAAAAAGGATCATTATGATTATATTCACTTTTTAAAACAGGTAAAAAATGTTCATTATGGCTTTTAACTTAATATTCATTTTGCTTAAAATGCCAGTTATGCAAGCAGACAAAACACCAAAGTGCCTTTTATTTCAACTAAGCCAGCCAATGTTTATCTCTAATAAACACAACATTAT